GAGAGAGAGAGAGAGAGAGAGAGAGGGCCTTTTCTAAGCCGGAGGCATACACCGACAGGGATGGACGCGCGACGACCGCAGACCACGGGTCACCCCCGTGGAAGAGCTTTTGATCTCGCCTAAGACACCTTTTTTCGGACTCTCTCTTCTTCTTCTCCACCCCCACCCCCTTTTTTTTCTTCTTTTTCTTCTCTTTCGTTTAACAAGCCAATGGACTCGACGAAAGAGCGAGAAGAGAAGGGGGGAAGGGGAGATGTTGAGGTCGAGGAAACGAGAGAGGGAAGAGGGGGTTAGTTGACGAAAAGTTCGGGGAGGGGGTGCAGTTAATTGTGAAGGGAATTGGGACTCGTTACGCGCCGCCAGCCGCCTAAAAATGGAACACATTTATGCGAGGGTAATTAGCGCGCGTGTGCCCGATTTCCCTCCCCTCTTTTGTTTCTGTACCGGGAATTTTACGCGCTTGTAATCTGTCAAATGGTCCCCCTGCCCCCTCAGTTTCTCGCGTGTTTTCATTTCTTTTCTTTCGAATCAACTTTCGAGATTTTTTTCTCAATTGCCAATAACAAGTGGAAGTGGAAAGACTAAAAAACCCACAAGTAGTAACGAGAGAGAGAGAGAGAGAGAGAGAGAGAGAAGAGTGGCGCCGTTTAGTAGGCAGACAGCCCTGGCGGCGGAGGCCAGAAGAGAGAGAAAAGCGTCGACGTCGTTGACTGAGCCGGCCGGCGGGGCGCACGGCGCCAAAATCGATTTTGAAAAGGGAAAGTGGCATGTACGTGCCAGCAGCGTGGCTTTACATACACGGTACGCGCGCGATCCGCGACAAAAACGCGGAGGAGGTAAAACTGCCGCAGCGCGGGATAAAGGTTGCAAGCACACCGCGTATATGTACGAGCGGCACATACACACACGCGAGGTCTGCGTTGATGCCCCTTTTTTTTCCTGGCCACGAGTACTACCTCTTTCCCATTCATGTGTGAGCGTTCGAAGGGAAGTTGGCGTCTCGATTCGTTGTCACCGTGCCTGTGTACCTGTGCACAGTGGCACGTGTACCCTGTCACGCGTGTGCATACGTCACGCACGTGCATACGCGAGAACGTGTGCTGCCTCTCTGCAGTGAATGACGCTGAATGATGACAATTTCGGCGATTTTTCACGGTGTTTAAGTCCTTCCCCCCCCTCCTCGCATTTTCCACGCGATATTTCATTTACGATCGAACGTGACAACCTGGCCGTCCCCAGTCAAGTCGTCGTAGTAGCTACTGCTAACAGATGACGTCACGCTCTACTTTCTTCCTCTCGGAAGATTAGCGCAATGTTGACTCAATTTACTATGTGTTGACGCCATTGCCGAGTTTATTTTTAGCCAGTTTCTTTTCGCCTGTAACATTCAGATCCGATAGATAAGGCGTCCGAGGAAAGATCGACCAAGATTTCTGAAATGATTTTCCACCAACAGTTCTGAACCCAATAGATATTGCAAGACGACGGGGACGCACTCCATCCTCGTCGACGAAGAAGATAAGAGCATTTTTACGGAAGCTTGTTAATATTGACAAACCGGGGGTATGAGCGTCGCATCTGTGTCGAACGTTATCTAACATGTTTCGTTAACATTTCGA